GAAGGCACAGGACTCGCTCCTAGAACTGAAAAAAAAGGAAATAAAATGAAAATAAATCGTATCCATGGACACTCTCACCATCTGTGTATGAGCTGCTGGCATGTCAGGCTTGAAGGTCATCTGTTCAACTTACCTGGCTCTCACTCCACACACACTCTAGAATCCAACTCAAGGCAACATTCACGGAAACCTGATTGCCACCCCGATGCCTTTAAGCTCGCTCTTCAGCTTCAAGGAGCTCCCTCTTCATCTCATCTCTATTACCTCCACACATCTTCATCTCCTTCTGTATTAAACGTGGTCTCATCACCAAGTCACGCTCTCATCTGTACTTTCAACTCTCATTTCCCCGTTCGCCCGGTTGAACCAGACTAGCAAAATCTCGTGCCATCAAATCCATCTGTCTTTTCTGTTCCTATAACTCAAAACGGCTTGTTGTGAAAGATCGATGCCATTAGTAATACACCCTCCAGTCTCAACTGGGGCACTGGAGCAACACTTGGATTCATCGTTTTACAAATAATCCAAACTTCCAAGACCTTAACGATTCAAGTTCCCTAATGCTACTACCATCATTTTTCTTTCCTTTAAATGAACAATTTGCTCCTGCACTTCAGAGAAATGAGAAGTCTGAACAAAAGCCCTAAGTTCTTTACCTCATCTGTCCAGCTAACTGCCCATCATCTTTAATTCCTTCCTCTACACTCAGAATGAGTTGGTTTCATTCCTGTTCGGCAGACATGCTCTAAGCCCATGCCTGCCTCACCTAGCCTGCAGAAATGGAATCCCAAATCAATCCAGCCACACACCCACTGCACTCTGACCACAGCTACACTTCTCAGCCTGAGCTTCCTGACTTGGAAATGCTAGTATCCTTGTGACTGTAACAGGCTGAGAGGTGCGTGACACACATGAAGTTAAGCGAGGTTCCCAGAAGAAAGCTGCACTCACATTCACCATTCTCAAGGGCTCATGGACTGATCCGAACTCTAATGATTATGAAAAGCGGGAATGTTGAAGGTCCAGGGCTGATTTATCTCCGGCTACATAATCCCTCTGAATAGCCACTTATTGCCCACTTCTGTGTGTGACCTAACATCCTGTGAGCATGAGGTAAAGGGAAACAAACACTTAGCTTCCACCAGCCCAAAGGCTTAGAATGTCATCAGGGCTTCTGAGGCCTGTAACAGAGATCTCCCCTCTTGTTATAACCTGCCTATGTGATATTTCCACTATTCTATTTTAAAAGTGTCTTAACTTATGACTCTTTGTTTTATTTCTATAAAAATTTAATGAAACTATTGCCACTTTGGACCACGGAATTTGGGGTAACTTGAATCTACATTCCTGCACCATGGTCACTCATAATTCACCCCACAGTAAACTATGATACTCTCTTTAAGATGACAGCTGTATTTTTCTTCCATTGGCAGTAATTATTAAATATATTTAATACTAGTAGCTATTATTTTTTAATAGCGTTACCATTTTTTACTCCAAGAATTAGGAGACAAGGAAGGGGAGAGACCACCAGTATAGAGCCAAGGAGAAAACTGTGTTCCAAACCTCGATGAAGAGAAACAGCTGCTCTGTGAGCTGGGCTGATTAAATACATCAGATTCTTTGCTATTTGAAGCACTCACTGTCTAGAATCTAGAACTAACAGTATCCGAGCGGAAGGTTTCATCTGGGTTGAAATCAACACAGAAAAATGAACAACTCTTCCTTCCGTCCATTTAGAATAACTGAGTATTTAAAATGAGTTCCAGCAATGCAGAGCCAGTGGCAGCAGTAAACAGAAGAGTCCAACTGGGAGAGCTCACAAGTGGGGTAGGAGCGCCTTCGCCTTTGGGTGAGCGCCTGGGACAGGGCTGGGCAGCTGTCAGAAGAGGCGGGACTGATTGGAAGGGGCTCCGCCTAGGCACAGCCGGGAAACCAACACAAACGACAGCAATGGGTCCTGCCTAACCCAGAGAGAGTACGGGGAGAGTCCTTCTGTCCACACTGATGACAAAAAGCAAATAAGACAGAAAGAGGGAAGAAATATTTCAGCCAGCGTAGCATCAGTTACTAGGAACGAACTGAATAATGACAAAAGCACCTCTCTGTACTTTCAGAAAGTAGGCATCATCTCCATAATGCTAACAACACTGAGTGACAGGTTAATGGAGATGCGACATCAGCATGGCCGTGGGATGTTTATTAACCGTAAGGGGACATGTGCCTTTACAACAGGGAGGTCGGGCACTCGCTCTCTTAATCAAGGGATCAAAGAGCATCAGAGACTGGGGCTTGGAGCTTAGTGGTAGAGTGTTTACCTAGCATGTGTGCGTGAGACCCTGTTTCTGTCCCGTGTCACAAAAACAAACCCCTGCCCCAAGCAAATGTGCATCAGTGATAGGGACAGTGAGTTGTGTGTTATACCAAGAAGCATGTGGCATGTAGCAAATTCAAAGGCAAGTGCACCAAACCAATGAGGACAAAGCAGACAGACAGCCTATGGTCTCACTACCAAAAGACCAAAATCACCTACAAAAACAAAACGAATAACAAAAACAGCCTACAGTCTCACTACTGAAGACCAAAATCACCTACAAAAATAAAACCAACAAACAAAACAGCCTATGTCTCACTACCAAAGACCAAAATCACATCATCTGGCACTTGTTTGAAATACACAATCTTTGGCCTCATTCCTGACAGCTCATTTAGAATTGGCATTTTAAGATTGTCTGATGATTCACAGATATAAAATTTGAGAAACCATGCATAAAATTAATCATCTAGACTATAGATTATCCAATCCTGAGCAGTCACATGGATGAGCAACACTGAATGGATTCAGTAGGTTTATTTAAACCTACAAAGGTACATATATATAACAACAATCATTTTCAAAGATACATTTTTATGTGTATTGCTACATGAGTGTGTGTTCTCCGTGTGTGCCAGGTGGAGGCCAGAAGAGGGCACCAGGAAGAGAAGTTATGGGCAGTTGTAAGTCCCCATATGGGTGCTGAGAACTGAACTGAGGTCCTCTGCAAGAAAAGGCCCGCAACAACAATAATGAAAGATGATGAGGTCATAAACTTGAGGGGGGCACTAGAGGAACTGAAGGGGGTGGAAATGGGGGCATTGGAGAGGTGGCTCAGAGGTGTAAAGCACTTGTTCTTGCAGAGGATCCAGGTTCAGTTTCCAGCACCTACATGGTGACTTACAACCATCTGTAACTCCAGTTTCAGGGGTCGGATGCCTTTTTCTGTCTTTCATGGGTACCAGGCACACATATGGTGCACACACATAGGCAAACATTCATACATATAAAATAAATAAATCTAAACATGTAATTATCCTGATCAGAAGAAAAAATTATAAAACACATTTCTTTTTGTTGTTGTTGTTGTTGTTGTTTTCAAGACAGGGTTTCTCTGGGTAGCTTTAGTGCCTTTCCTGGAACTCACTCTGTAGACCAGGCTGGCCTCAAACTCACAGACTGCCTCTCCCTCTCAAGTGCTGGGATTACAGTCTGTGTCACCATGCTCAGTGAGGCATTATTATTATACCGAAAGTTTTACTTTATTCTAAGATGAAGGTCTTTAAATAACATAAGAATATTTTTTTAGCTAGGCGGTGATGGCGCATGCCTTTATTCCCAGGAGTCAGGAGGCAGAGGCCAGTGGATCTCTGTGTTCAAGGCCAGCCTGGGCTACAGAGTGAGATTCAGGACAGCCAGAGTTACACAGAGAAACTCTGTCTTGGAAAACAAAATAAAACAACAACAAAAAGAACATGTTTTGGCAACTCTAAGTCAAGATGAGAAGGCAAAATAATGACCACTTCTCATTTTTATTTGGTAACTAACAACAACAAAATGATTTAGTGAGATGATGGGCAACTTTTCCCCAAGAAAGACCGTCAGGACATCATCTCATCACCTTGTGGGACAGCACTAAGGCAGGAGGATCACGGTTGGAGGCCAGCCTGGCCTATAGAGAGAGTTCCAGGCCATCCTGGACAATCCTGACTCAAAAATACACAACTTAATCTCAGTTCTCAGCATAATGTATTATAGGTAAGCAAAATGAAGTTACTATAAATAACTTAAAGATCAAATTCACTATGAAGAAAATGTCAACATAATTTTATCAAGTTACCCTCAATTGTCCTGACTAGTTAGGTTATGAGAAAATACAGTATTTTCATAAGAATTTGCTGAAGAGCTAGGTATAGTGGTACACACCTTTAATCCCAGCCCTCAGGAGGCAGAGGCAGGTGGATCTCTGAGTTAGAGAACAGGTTGGTCTACAGAGTGAGTTCCAGGGGCAGCCATGGCTACACAGAGAAACCTTGTCTCAAACAAAACAAAAATAACAACAACAACAAAAACCCTATAAATTAGTCGTGGAAGACCGGCAATTGTAGCCATGGGTTAAATCTAGCTTATTGCTTGCTTTTATGAATAGTCTTTTGGTTTTTCAGGGGCAGGATGGGTATGCATGCATTTATAAATGGGGGTGGGGGTGCCCATGTAAGCAAGCGCAGAGGTGGGAGGTAAACTTTTGGGGTCTTCCTTCATCACTCTCCACTTCATATCTTGAGACCAGGCCTCTCACGGAACCTTGAGCTCACTGCTCCTAGACCGACTGATCGGGAGGCCTCAGAATCCACCTGTCTCCACACCCTCCCCCAGGCATGGCCACCATGTCTGGCTGTTAGGTGAATGTTAGGTCTCTCCACTGGGACCTCCAGCTGACACAGCAGACTTGTCACCCATGAGCCACCTTCCCAGTCCTGGTGGAGAGTTTTAACACATCAGTCACAACCATTCATTTACCTGTTACCCATTGCTGTTTTAACTGTAACAAAACCCAAACATCACAACAGAGACTGTATGGCCCACAAAGCCCCAAACACTTGCCATTTGGCCCATACAAGAAAACAATTGTTGGCCTCTGCTCTCGACAAGCAGTCTACGAATACAACAGACCTGGTAGACTCACCTGGGGCGTTGTCTTTTTATACTGGTCACCGCCATCTATCACATCCCTCATGATCTTTTCCTTGAGAAATTCATATTCTTCTGGACTCAGATGAATAGACTCTAAGGTTCTACCACAGCTTGAACACCGGCCACTGGAATTGTAATGTTTTATATTAAATAATGTCTTGGAAAATAATTTTTTTCCTAAAATTAGTAATTCCACAGCACAAGGAAACAGAAATGTAATACAAACAAAAAAACAAACAAACAAAAAAAAACACATTTAAACCTTGGTGATCATCACATTTGTTAGAATTTTTTTTTTTGTAAACCTAAATATATCTCCTATCAGTATGCCAGATAACTCAGAAGAGAAAATCACTAGGCATCTTAGAATAAAAAAGAAATTTTTTTTTTCTGCTGAGGAATTCATGTATACGTATACTTTATACTCTTAGAAGAATCACAGGAGCTTCAAATATGGCTCAATGGGTAAAGGGGCCTGCGGCCAAGCCTAACAACCTGATTTCAATCCCAGGGAACGTATATGGTAGTTGTCCACTAACCTTCACACAGAATAAAACAAAAATTTAAAGTAGTTTTTTGGTTTTGTCTGTCTGTTTGTTTAAAGAAAAGGAATCTTAGAGTTTTCTTTCCTGCATGTCTTTGTCTTGTTTCTGCATGGCTCACGGTGCCAACTGAGGATATTAACACAGAGAGGGCAAACTGGCAGGGTGGGAGCGGAATAGTCCGCTATCTTTCCCTGTGTCTTAGATCTACATATCAGCTCTGGGAGTGAGCACACCATACTCATTTAACCTGCCTGTAAGGGTCACAGCATTTCCTCAGCTCTGTAATTATCAATGATGTCAAATTTGCCAACGTAATGGTGCTCCATCACAGTAACAAACTGGACACCTCAGGCCCAGCCTAGGGAGGGCCTGTACTCACAATTTCCAACATTGTCAACGCTCTTGGGAACATCAGCCAAGATAAGCACACATACCATCATGGTGACAGGAAAGACAGTAGAAAGAGCTAGATGAAGTCATTTAAAGTAATTTCTAAAACACAACTGGGTCAGCAATTCAGGGGCCAGCATCATTAAGGTTTAACACAAACTCACAGCATCAATGGGAAAAACATTTCGAGCACTCCAAAATCTGTCTACATGCCTGTAATCCCAACACACAGAAGGTTAAGGCAGCAGGATTACTGTATGTTTGAAGCCAGCCTAGGCTACAAATCAAGACTCTCAAAACACAACAGATGGCTTTTTCTTCTCAGGAACTTTAATTATATCCCTAAGATGTTCTTAAATATTTTTTTTTAATTACTAGAAGCTCTCCCCAGCCCAAATATTTATTTTTAATTATGTGTTTGTCTGTGTGTGTGTGTGTGTGTGTGTGTGTGTGTGTGCATGTGAGCACAGGTACAGGCAGAGGGCAGAAGAGGGCAGAGGATCCCCTGGAACTACAATTACAGGCAGTTGTGATCCACCAGATGTGGGTGCTGGGAACTGAATCAGATCATATGGAAGAGCAGGAGCTCTTAACCACTGAGCCATCTCTCCAGACCTTTCTATTTTTAAGCCAATACCAACAGAACTTAATATATCTCAATCAAACAAATTGAAGACAAATAATGGTTTTTACCTTTTCTGGATTGTAGTGAATTGTCCTTTCCATTGTCTTCCAGGAATACTACATAAAAAGATTACAAAACCAGATTATGAGAAAGTTACAAATTCCTTCTGAACCTAAAGACAGACTGTCACTGTATTTAGACATTCTGTAAGGAAGAGCTCTGAGAAGTTCAGAATACTTTCTTAGGATGGTTTTCACAATGGCTGCCAGGCTGTGGTTGGAGTTAAGGACTGGGCAGCATTCTACTGGATCCTACAGTATCCTTTTGGTTCACCTCCTGACATATCCCTCCTCCTCTTCAAGTCTTACCTTTATTTCTAGCACTGGGGGGCAGAGGCAAGCAGATCTCTGTGAGTTCAAGACCAGCCTAGTCTACACAGAGAACTCCAGAATAGCCAGGGCTAGATAGAGACCCAGTCTGAAACAATAACAACAACAAAACTCAAGTCTGAATCTACCTTCACTAGAAGTATGCAAAAACTAGAGACTATATATATAATTTTTTTTTTTTTTGGATACAGGGTTTCTCTGTGTAGCTTTGGAGCCTTTCCTGGAACTCACTCTGTATCCCAGGCTGGCCTCAAACTCATAAGATCCTCCTACCTCTGTCTCCTGAGTGCTGGGATTAAAGGCGTGAGCCGCCGCCGCCGCCGCCGCCGCCGCCGCCGCCGCCGCCGCCGCCGCCGCCGCCGCCGCCGCCGCCACCACCACCACCACCACCACCACCACCACCACCGGCTTAGAGATATTTCAATCACACTCAGCTCTACCTGTCTTCATAAAGCTATTAGACACGGCGCCTGGGTGGAGTAATTGCTCTCATCTCTTGTACTGCTGCTGCCTCCTAAGACCACTGTCAGGAACGGCATTCCTCGTTAGCTTGAGAATGTCCCAACAGACAGTACGCCAGAAATATACACGGTTTTAATGTGATTGGAGTCATCCAAAATTATCTATTGATTTACTCTCTCAATCACCATATCCTTTCCTTACATAAACTACCATTACTTCCTATTGATCATTGATCCTACTGCCTTCTTTCCTTCACCAGTTAATTCAGCACCTCATGACCTCTCACCCAAATCTAAAATTGCATTCAAACAAATATCCCTATTTTCGATCTTAATTTCTCTCCCATCAATTCTTCTCATTGTTTTGATACTTGTTTTTCTAAAACTCTACTCCAAATCCAGTGTTTTGAGAACAGAATAAAGCCTAAACTCCAAGATTTCCACACTCTTATTCCTCTTCTTTGGATTCTCAATAAATTCGTTAAGATCATTAGACATGATTTCTACCTAAAAGTTCTGTAAACATGATATATGATAAAAAGAGAAAAAAGAAGGAGCTTTTAGGAAACGGCCTGAAATAAATTAATGGTGAAGAAATGAGAGCAAACGATTGAAGCAATCAGCAGTTATGCCATTGGCAGCACAAGTCAAGGCAAAGAGGAGCTTGGGAGAACAGCCAGGCAAGGAAAGACGCAAAATAAAATGGCAGGATGCTGTGGGATAATCCTTCTGTACACTGTGAATATGTATTATTCTCATGGTAGCCAGGCAGGAAGTGAGGCAGGAAAGCCAAACTGAGAATGATGGGAAGAAGGAGGGCAGAGTCAGAAGAGTTGCCAAGAGACTCAGAGGGAGCAAGACCTGCTGAGTGGTGATACATAGACTAATAGAAATGGATTAATTTAAGTTGTAAGAGCTAGTTAGTAATAAGCCTAAGCTATCAGCCAAGCATTTATAATTAATATTAAGCCTCTGAGTGGTTACTTGGGAACGGCTTGCAGGACAGGAACTTCCGCTTACAAAGGCTTGAGTATCAGGATTGATCAGGAACTGCCCCATCCACTCTAATCATTCTAAGTGATGAGACATGGGATCACAGGATAACTATGAGCACATTATTTCCATCACTACTTTTGAAAATATGAATGTGATCATTTGTTACAGTGTTTGCTGCACAAGCAAGATCTAAGGTTGGATCCCTAGAACCCATGTCCAAGCCTGGCATGGAGGCTGTACCTGCAACCCCAGAAATATCAGAGTGGAGACAGGCAGACCTCAGGGCTTGCTAACCAGTTAGTCTAGACAAAATGCTAACTGTAGGTTCAGTAAGAGACTGTCTCAAAGTAAGGTGGACTTTGATAAAAGATACCCAAAGTCAAACTGTGTTCTTCACACCTTTGGGTATGCATTCGCATACACGTGTGCATACCCCACACACACCTAAACCCTTTTCTTGCTATCATGTTGCCCGCTATTCATGTTAGATGTCTCAGAAAATAAAGAAATCTATTATATGAAAACAAAAGATGCTGTATAATTTCCTTTTATGTGACAAGTAGAGCTTAACACAAATTATTCCTACCACTCTCTTAAGAGAATGTTTTTCTTTCAAAGGTAAAATAATTCTTACCTCAAGATGGGAAAAAGCCCAATCTGAATAAAATGAGTCTCAGCAACTAATAAACAACACAGAAAAGGGTCTTTTAAAATATAGGTACTGGGATAAAACACATGCACAAAATCAAAATTACCTTTCAAACCATGCTTTTATACTGTGTGCAAATGACTCTCCAGGATACAGCTGATTATTCCTTAGATACAAAAGAATGTCCAGTAGTTTGTTCGAATAGTGATCATCATTTAAGTCTTTGCCAAAATCAAAGAAGGCTTTTAAAGTTTCCAGCAGAGGAATGAGATTATGACCTACCAACTCCTGATACAAACTCCAAGCCACGTTCACATCTTGATGGAGGAGGGCTCCCTGTATGCAGTCATCGTAGTTCCTTTTCGAAGGGACCATGACTTTTTTAATGTCTTCTAGGAGCAGCAAGGCCTCTCTCCATCTGTCTGAGTGGATCAGTCCCCGGATGAGAAGGGTGTTAGCCCCGGATTCTAAACACTTGTACTTGGCTTTCATGATTTCATAGACATCAATAACTTCTGATGTCTGCTTATGAGAGACACAGAGACTTAAATACTTGACGAGCAAATTATACCCTACAATGCCGTTGTTCTTGGCGGCTACCCATGCCAGGAGAGACTTAGCTACATCTATAGAGCTACAGCTGCGCACCATCTGGGAAATAACCCAGTCTTCAAAAGTGGCCTTCCCATTGAAATCTTCTTTAAGTTTATCCCACTCTTCGGAATTCAGGGGTTTAGTTGGAAGCTGGAGAGCGCTCACACGTGGCAAGGCATGATCTCTATGCTGAGGGTTGCTACTGACCTGTGACCTCTTCTTAGCGGCTCCCGCGGCAAAATAATGATCAGGAGAAACTTGCCTATTGCTGTCATTTCCTTTCTTGAGTGTTCTAGCCTTGGCAACCAGCAGATTCATTGCTTTGCCATTTGGAAGGGACGTGGTTTTAACAGAAAACCATCTGTGTCGGTTCCCGGTAACCGCGAGAAAGAGAGAGACAGGAGAGGTCGCGGGGCCCAGCTCAAAGTAAGGAGTGCTCTTCCAAAGTTTCGGAAAGCTCCGAAAACCAGGCAAATAGAAGGTCATTCTGCAGTGAGTTGAATGAGGATTAGCTCCACTCCACTATGTAAAATTAGGAGATTGGCGGTTTAAGCACAATTCTTGAAAAGGAAATTTTTGTTTGTTTCTCCCTTACAAACAAATTCAGATTATGCTTTAGGGGTGATTTAATGGCAAGGAAAACACACAAGTTCTCTCCATTAAACAATGATCCAGGGATCTCTAACACCAGTAGCAGCAATCCCTAAACCAGAAGACGGAACGGGAATCCTGAGGTGCCTGTTACATTCCAATTTTCGAATCTGAGGAAAAAGCACAAGAAGGACCTGCTAGTTTGACTCATGTGCATCACAACGGTCCTGAAGAAGGGCAAGATACCAAGGGAACTAGAACAGGGAAATAAAATAATAACCTCGACCAGGAACCACCAACCGCAGCCCCACCGGTAGCAAGAAAATCCAGTCTAGGGTCCCTTGCTCTTTACACTTTCTCCAGGCCCTAAAACGCCTCAGAGAAGAGGGAACGGGGGGACGCGTCATAAACATCACAGGGAAGAAAGTGAGGTCCAGAAAGAGCTTAGACTTAACTGTACGGATGGCCGACGAACGAAGTTCACTTAATTCAACACTCACCACACCACGCATGCTTACAGTAACCATAAACGCGGTGAAAACTACAGTACCCACAAGGCACCGCGCTGAATGAGCCGCCAGGGCCTGAATGGCTTGGTTGCAGGAGTTCTATTGAGCCTGACGAAGATAAACAGAAAAAGAAAGGCAGTTTCGAAGCTTTTAGTATCCAAGAGGGCTGGAAACGGCTGCTGAAGCTTCTGTTAAATCTTGGAGACTATTAAGGCCTCCAAGAGCGAGAACAAAATGTGACGAAAGTGCTTTTCTCAAGTCGGAAAAGCCAATGGATTCCTGCAATCCTGTGGTGCGCACGCGCCGAAAGGCCCCCAGCCAAGAGCTCACGCGGGCTTCTTGCTGGCCTTTAAGATCAGGTTTGGTGAGCTGGGATACTCCCATAAGAAAAACCAATTTTTCGTCTATTTCATGTCTGCTTTTCGCCCCTGCTAGCGTGATCGCCGTATCCGGAACAGACACAGCCTTCGGGTTTTTTGCCTCTGCAGCCAAGGCTTCCGCCCGGGTCCAAGATGGCGTCCGGGCGTCCTTCTTAACTTCCACCTGCCTTGGTGGCGTCTGACGTCGGAGCTGGTAGTGGGTGGAGCGGTTAACAACCCGCAAATGTAGGGTCCTCTGAGCGGGAGTCAGCCATGGACTGGAAAGACGTGCTCCGCCGGCGCCTGGCGTCGCCCAACAAGGATCCGAAGAGTGAGTTCGGGAGGGACGGCCCGCTAGATAGCCCGCCCCAGGCTAGAAGTGGCGCAGGGGGGATGGGGAGGAGGAGGAAGTGCGAGGGCTACTTTCCGCGTCCGGGAAACTTACCTGACAAAGGAGCCGGAGCCGAGTGTGCTTTTAGCGATCCGAGGAGGGCTGGCCCAAACTTCCCTGGTGATTGACCTACAGGGAACAAAAAGCGCAGCTGTGGCCCCCGTTTTCCACGATCTTAGGCTTATGAGGAATAACTGAGACCCTTGGTTCCCTTCGAGCTTACCAAGACCTGTAATTCATCCTTATGGCTTTCCCCCTTGAGACAGGGTGTCACCATGTAGCCCAGGCCAGTCTTGACTTAGACCCTCCTTGCCCCAGTTTCCCGGTGCCTGCCGCCTTTTAACTCTTTTTTCGCTGAACCCTCCATTTTAAATAGCATTAGTCCATTTCACATTGTTCGTTCTCCGGTCCTTCACACTTGGCTTGCCGGTCAGTCTGATTAAATTAAAGGATTTAATTCCACACCAGCACCCAGGCAGCTAAAGAAAAACAGAACCGGGCTAGAGAGAGGTCTCAGCCGTTAAAAGCTAGACTCACCACCAAAAAGAAAAACAGGACATGGTGAGTTCTCACTTAGACTCCATGTCCACTAAGCTGAAGTGTGTGTATTTAGTCGCATCTGCAAGAAGAGCATTTGCTCTCCCACACTTAACTCCCCTCATCTTCCCAAGGCTCCAGTCTGCCCTCTCCATTGTTCACCTTCAATTGATGAACTCGTTTTCAAATACGTCTGTCTCAAAGAGGAATTGGAAACAGTTAAAAGAGAACCTTAACTCTTTCCAGCTACCATTTCTCTGAGGTGTTAGGTATTTATCCTTACACTCAACCTTCACCTTTAATTTGAATTGTCACCTTAAAATGAATTGTCACCGGGCGGTGGTGGCACACACCTTTAATGCAAGCTCTCGGGAGGCAGAGGCAGGTGGATCTCTGAGTTTGAGAACAGCCTGGTCTACAGATAGAGTTCCAGGACAGCCAGGGCTACCCAGAGAAACTCTGTCTCTAGAAAAGAAAAAGAATTGTCTTTACTCCTACTTGAGTCCCTCCAATCCCTCACTTGATTACATTCCTTTTCATATACTCAATGGCTTCTCTTCAGTTTTATCCTCTCTCATACATTATCAATTTTTTCTTTTCTCCTCAATCATTTCTATTACCACTAACAAGCATGTTGTAGTAGCCTGCATGCATGGAAGTGTACCATGTTTGTGCAGTGCCTGCTGAATGAAGGAGAAGGCTTTATTGTAGCTATAAGGGAGAGGTCAGCCAGAGTCATCTGGAAGGCTCCAGACTGAGTATGGCCAGCAGAGTAGACCAGGCCATGAGAGAGAGAGAGAGAGGGAGAGAGGAGAGAGTTATATAGGATCAGAAGCTGGAGGAAGGGAAGCCCAGCCCCTTGGCTGGAGACCTTTAGGGCAGGAGGTTGCGTGAGACGTGCTGGGAGGAGCCACAGGTAAGGCTGAGAGCTGCCCTGCACCTCAGTTAGCCATTTGTCCCTGCAAAGGCCGGAGGAGGGTATTGGATCTCCTGGAGCAGGAGTTACACATGGGTGTGAGCTGCCGTGTGAGCGCTGGGAAACAAACCCAAGCCCTCTCCAAGAGCAGCAAACCTACAGAGTGTTTACTGCTCTTAAACCTACTGAGTTAACTTCCCAGCTCCCCACCAGTGTTTCTCTTCACCTTTACTAGGAATACTACTACTGCGCCATGAGTGTTTAACAAATTATCTAGATTGTGTGGATAGTGTTAATAGTCCTACTTAAGGCTGTTGACATCAGTGCAGTAGATCCCATTCATTGACATCAGTGCAGTAGATCCCATCCATTGACATCAGTGCAGTAGATCCCATCCATTGACATCAGTGCAGTAGATCCCATCCATTGACATCAGTGTAGTAGATCCCATTCATTGACATCAGTGTATAGATCCCATCCATTGACATTAGTGCAGTAGATCCCATCCATGTGCTAAATCTCATTTGCCTTCGAAAGGATGTATTCTCAAGGATAACCCTTTACCTGTATCATCAGACTTTCTTAATCATTTTCATTAGCATATAAACATGCTGGTATTTTTCCCAGTTAAGAAACTTTCTCAGGCTGGGCGGTGGTGGCAGAGCCAGGCGGATCTCTGTGAGTTACAGAGCGAGATCCAGGACAGGCACCAAAACTACACAGAGAATGTCTCAAAAAACCAAAACAAAAAACAAAAAGAAACAAACAAACAAAAAAAAACCTTACTGTCTCTTATTCCTGCTTGTGAAGAATCATTAGTGACCGCTTAATGGCTAAATCCATTGGTCCTTTTCAATTCCCATTTTATTTGCAAAATTTTTCAGTTTTCTCCAATTGTACTAAACCATACTAAAGAAACTGTAGGCTTGGTTCAAGATTAAAAGTTAATATGACTGGTACAAGAAATGCTATGAAAAGTACTGAAGAATCCCCAGTGTCACCTTTGGAAGAAAACAGAAAAAAATAGTTTTTGAGAAACTAGATAGTAGAGTTGAAGAACCCAGTGAGGCTGGCGTGCAGATATCCCTGAGGTTCTGAGTGATCAGAGGTGATCTGGACGTGTGTTAGAGCCTATGCTTTCAGAAGAGAGCTAGCAGTGATCTGGGATCTAGCCGTGGTCACTCTCATCTATAACCCCAGCCCTGGGGAGGCTGAGACACGGGGCTTGTCACAGGCTTGAGGCCAGCCTGAGGGCAGAGTGAGACCCTATTAAAGAAATAAAGGAGCCTGGAGTCTAGGGTTGTAGCTCAGTGGCAGAGTGCTGGCATGGTGTGCACACCACCCAGGATTTGAACCTCAGTACATGCTGGCTCCATAGATGTTTATCCTCAGTGAAGAAAAATGGCTCGGGAAGAAAGTTACCTGTCAACAGCAGGCAGGTTGGAGGGCAGTAGAGCTCTGAGTCTTGAGCCTCAGAGAGTGCTGTTCTTTGTTTTGTTATTAAAGACCAACTGCAGTACTGGGGCCGAAATTATATCAGGTCAGGGGCTGTGCCTGCTCTGCTTCCTCTGGCCGCAGTGGCCAGCACAGGACCCTGTGCAGTAGGTGCTCCGGGGTGTCTGTTCTTGTTTCTGGCACTGAGACTTGAACCCAGGGCTCTGTATATGCTACCTAAACACTCTAGCACTGAGCTGTCCTTCTAGCCCTAGCAAATACTTCTGATAGGATGAATTGAAACACTTTAAAGGTTTTTAAGTGAGACAGTAGCTTGAGGAAGAGGCAAGCTTCAATGATAAACCCAAGTACAGGGAACACCCTGATTCTCATTGGACTGGGCAATTCAGTGGTTGATGTAAGGAGGCTATTTCAGTGGAAGGCAGTATTTCAGGTTAGTCCGTTCAGTATCTAAACACATTTTTTTTTTTTTGTTTTGTTTTTTGGTTTTTCGAGACAGGGTTTCTCTGTATAGCTTTGCGCCTTTCCTGGAACTCACTTGGTAGCCCAGGCTGGCCTGGAACTCACAGAGATCCTCCTGGCTCTGCCTCCCGAGTGCTGGGATTAAAGGCGTGCGCCCCTGCCACCTGGCTAAACACAGTTTTGAAGGCCTTTTTGTCAGTGCAGATGTTTTAACTAGAATTTACTGTATAGGCTATCCTGAGTAAAAATAATATTTGGTGTTTATGCCTTTTCTCACCTTTTTTTTTTTTTTTTTTTTGCTATTGTTACTAGGGAAAAAAAGCGAACAAGAATTAAAAGATGAAGAAATGGATTTATTTACCAAGTACTACTCAGAATGGAAAGGAGGTAGAAAAAACACAAATGAATTCTATAAGACCATTCCCCGGTTTTATTACAGGGTAAGTGTTGTTTAAGTGGAAGTTCCTGAATCTGTAAATGAAATGTAATTTCAAAAGTGGGATCGAAAGCACATAGTTTTAAAATAGAGGATTACATTGAACATTTTGTATATTTTATTATAGTTGGTTTATTACTATGAGAAAATACTTTGAATCCACTAAAATCTTGTACCAATAAGTCGGTCCAAGAAGGCAAAGTTGTTACTCCCCCTTTTTTGAGCTCTTCTAATTTTTATTGTAGATATTAGTAGTAAGAATACTGTTCAGTGATGTAGTCTCAGCAGGCATGATGGCTTTGCCCAGACTGTTTTAAGCTAGTCCTGTTTAATTTGATATTGATATAAGGTGACTTTTCCAATGTGATTTTAGTTGCCTGCGGAAGATGAAGTCTTACTACAGAAATTAAGAGAGGAATCTAGAGCTGTCTTTCTACAGAGGAAAAGCAGAGAACTCTTAGATAATGAAGAATTACAGGTACAAGTGGACTCACATGGCTTTAGCTGTTACCCATTTCTTTCTTGTACTTAAGTCGTGCAGGATTTTGTTATGCCTCTTTGAATTCTCCGTGCAGAGTAGTACTCCATAGGTTTCTGAAGCAGAGCTTGTATACGTGTACCAGAATCAGCTGCTGAATGCATGGCCTGATTTCCAAGGATAGTGCTCTTAAGGTTTTGTTTCTTAAGTTCCCACATAATCCTAATGGGTTGTCAAGATCTGGAAAACAGTGCAGTATCGTCCTCTGCAGAAGTCCAAATCCTAGCCCCCTGCCATGGTGTGACTTTAGGCAATGGACTTGATACCTTTATGCTTCGATTTTCATGTGTAAAGTAGATCGTGCCTACATTAGATAGTTACATGGATTAAAGAAGCAATATATTTTAAAAGCTTAAACTTTAGTAAGCACAATAAGTGTCAGTTATTTTATTAGTAGTCAAAGTAATGGGGCATAGATTCACCTTTATTAGACAGAAAGGGTGCATTTACCTTCTTAAATCCACTATTAACTTATAACATTTCCATTTCCCTAATTCTCTTAAGAACTTATGGTTTTTGCTGGATAAACACCAGATACCACCTATGATTGGAGAGGAAGCAATGATCAATTATGAAAATTTTTTGAAGGTTGGAGAAAAGGCTGGACCAAAGTGCAAGTAAGAATAATGTGATTTAAAGAGGAACATGCGGTAGACATTTTTATTGCCTCAAATGTCAATGGAGTTGAAGTCATGGAGTGACGTTTGACTTACTACTTTAAGTGACTGAAATGTGATAAAATTATTTAGAGTCAAGGAAAAATTGGAGGCTGGGGAGATGGCTTAGTCTGTTGGATTCCGAGTGATCGTATAAAAGCTGGGTGCAGTAGCATATGTGTGCAACCCCCAGCGTTGGTAGACCATAGGTGGGCAGATCTGTGAAGTTCATTGGCCATCCAGCTGCTCAAATCAGTGAGCTCCATGTTTGGTGAGAGAATCTGTCTCCACAAATAGGGTGGAGAGCATTGATCCCTGCCGTCAACCTCTGGCTTCTGCATGTACCCA